GGCAGCCAAGCGTCTGAGCCAAGCTCACTGAGCTTACAATCCTCCAGCCATACAGTTTGTGTCGTGTGTTTCCCTCACACTGAAAGTTAAACAAATCTTATCACCTGGGGAGACAGAGAAAGCCAAAGAGCTGGCCTTCTCCCATATGTATTCACAGCTGCGAATCTGTCAGGCAGAATTACCCTTTATAAAGCAGAGTGCAGAGTCCCAAAAGAACGGGAAAATGGACAGGGAAGTCTGATGTGCAGAGGAGGAGGAAGATGTCTGTATCCTAGAGATATCATGAAAAGCTGTACTCTTGACTGTGGATCAAGTGCTCAGGTGAAGAGTAAAGGGGGCCTCAATACATACAGTAAGGGATTTCGGCCAGATGCCTGCCTCCATCACCCCTTCCCAGGCCTGAGTGATTATCCAGCAAAGGGACCCGGAACCTGGGTAAGAGGAATCCATACCCAGGAGAGCAAAGTGTACCTGAATGTCATCCGGTGCGTTCAGGAAATGGCTTGGGAGAAGGTTTGGAAGCATTCCAACATTGTTGACTGGCAGAAAGAAGCAAAACAAAAAATATGTCAGAAGAGCACGTGGGAGATTTTCCCAAAGAAACATGGACAAAAAGACTTACATGTAAGGCTGTTCATCACAGCATGATTGGATAACCGTGAGGAAATTGGAGGGAAAATTTAGTCCATCAGTAGAGACACCTTCAATGAATCATGAGTTTGTCATATGTTGGAATGCGTGTAGTCATTAACAACTGGCTGCTTACAATTTTAAAGGCATGGGAGAGCGTGCATGATGTAAGTTTTTAAAACATGTATGACAAAACCGCGCAAATGTATAATTCCAGTTTTGAAAATATGTGTGTGTGTAGGATTAGAAAAATATGCACCAAAATGCTGTCTCGGAGTACTAGGATTTTAAGAGATTCATATTTATTTTATCAGCCTGTCTGTTCTTTCCAATTTTTCTGCAACGATATGCTTTACACTTTTATATATATAAATGTAATTATTTTAAAAATTCAGCAGAAGGTTTAGAAATCAAATTTTATTTTCTTCTATATATACTATACACACTGCACTGTGCATGTGGCCATAAAATACCTTGTCTATAAATCCTTACAGAAAAATATATTGTTTTCTGAATAAGAAAGAGTCAATTCTCCACCAACTATACCGACAATTTCATTGAGCAATAGCAGCAATGTTTGTTTGCTAAACTAATTCCTTTAGGCTAATGTTTCTGGGATTATTTTTCTGCCAAATGTTAACGTCAGTTCCATAGAAGAAAATTCATTTTCATATTAGAAAATATAGTTAGGGGGTGAAACGCACGTTTGATACATTCCAAACCCATATGTAAGTTTTTTTTATTCAGTAATGCCTCTTGAAGAATTGTGCTTTGATATTCAATGTAATGCTACAGCTTAAAATACTGTATATTTTAAGTATATTATAATCCATGAGTATACTATACTCATGGATTGCATATAAACTACCATGAAATAATCAAGTGTCACTCATCAGTGCTAGGTTATTTCACTGACATATTACAGCAAGCTTTGCATCTTGCAATTTACTCACCTAAAATTCCAATTTCTAAGCCTGTAAGTTTTTCTTTAATGTCCTCGTAGATGTCATCTTTGGTAAAGTCTGCTTGTATAATCTTCACACTACTCCCTGTAGTCTGCTCTGCATAAGAGACAACCGTTTTTTTAATGATCAGAGATCTAAATGCCCCCTTGCCCATGGAGTTACCCCAGTGCTCCTGTATTACCTGAGCAGACTCACGACAGCCCATTGCCCCAAATCTAAAAGGGAGATGGCTCTGAGTAAATGCTGGGAGGTGCTAAGAGATTGGCTAATGGTGGTTTCTACGTGCCTCTAAGAGTTGGTACAGGGACACGTCTGTGCATTAAGATAGATTTAATGCAGCAGTTCTCAAAGTGGAGTCCACAAAGCACAGCAGCAGGGTTACTGAAAACTTGTCAGAAATGCAAAGTCTCAGGCTCCACCCCAGATCCACCGCATCAGAAACTCTGTGGGTGGGGCCCTGCCAGCCACCTGCTTAACACACCGCTGAGTGACTCTGCTGCTTGCTCAAGTGTGAGACCCCTGGACTGACAGCTGTAAAAGCAAGGTGCGATGCTGCCTCTGCTCCCAAGTGTCATGTCTCTTCCAACTCTGTATTCACAGCGTTTCCATATACACTGTCTTACAGTCATCCTCCCTACAGCCTTCTAAAGTAGACATTATGATCTTTACTTTCCAGAGGCGAGAACAAAGGCTTAGGGAGGTGAACTGACCCAGGAGCATCCACGCTGGTCACTCCAAGTTCAGTGCACTGCCCACTACTGTGTGTTAACTTGCCTTCTGCAGGAGTTTTCCCGCAGATGTGAAAGCTACAACCGGAGTCTACCAACGGCTTGGTGAGCCACTTTAGCTTTGGAGTTGGCCAGTATTTGTGGGCCAAGCAATCGTGAGGAATAGTTTGGGAGGGACGGTGTTTCAAAGACGCTACTTGCCTTTCAAAAGGATGATAAAAAGCACATTTCAGCGTTGTGAGGCAAACACTGAAGAATGTCTCGGTCCTTATCAAAGTTACTTCTAATATCCAGACACAGAACAAAAGCAGGATTCATCGGTTCAAGGGCACGGGCGCTCTGCAGTGTGACTGCACAGTCCGCACCTCCCACACCTACCTCCTGTCCCAGATCTCCCCCAGGGAAAAAAGGCTCACCCCTGACAGCCCACCATGGTCTTCACAAGTCTCTATAACTAAAGTGTCATCCCTTTGAGTTAGAGTTTATTAATTATTAAATTAATAATTATTAAAATTCAAAGGTTCCAAAAGCTATATGATCATCATTATTTACAAGGAACACTTCACAGCGAATCATAATAATAAAACATTATGATATAAAAGTTGCCTCAGGGTTGTTCAGTGTACAACCTCCACATCCATACATGACGACCCTGGATCAAAACTGTTTTTAAAATCTGACAAACACCAGTAAGCATTGTCCCTCATCCTCCCGCCAAGAGCAGGGCACAGACATAGGGAAGGGGAGTCCCAAACACAGATGGTGCTTTTGGAGGGAGCGGTGGAAGCAACCAGGCAGCCGGGCCTCAAGGATGAACAGGGCTGATCTGGCGATGAAGGCACCAAGGCAAAAGAGAAAGCGGACTGATTTGTGCCTCCGTTGGTTCCTGCTTGCCCCAGCCCCCAGAGCCAGTGAGCACGAAAGCTGACACCTCCTATGCCACCCTCCGCTTTGTAACCGGGCTCCTCAGGAGAGTTGGTGTCCCAGGCTCTGAGAGCAGATGTGGGGACGCCAAGTGCATCAACAGGCAGAGCAGGGGTAGGCTCAACTGGTGGGCTCCGCATACCTCTCCCTTACTTAGGGGGTCACTCACCGATCTCTGCGCCAATGACCTGTAGTTTCTCCAGCGTCCGGCTAATAAGCACAACATCGAGTCCACGTTTTGCTAGCTGAGAGTGGGAGTGAAAAATCAAAAAAGACAAGGACAATGAGCAGACAGGGAGGGTTTGTTTTAAGGGGACTTGGTCCCAAGGCTGTGTGCGTACTGGAGGGGTGACGTGGTTTCCTCTCCTGGGTTTAAGTGTGCAGAAGGTGACAAAGCTTTCTGGGCTAGGAACAGCACAGCCCCATGGGCCAGGCTGACTAGTAGGGCATGATGATCGGAGTGAACGCTTGTTATGTGTTTATTGTGTGCTGAGAACTTTTCTTTTTTTTTTTTTTTTGAGACGGAGTTTCGCTCTTGTTACCCAGGCTGGAGTGCAATGGCGCGATCTCGGCTCACCGCAGCCTCCGCCTCCTGGGTTCAAGCAATTCTCCTGCCTCAGCCTCCTGAGTAGCTGGGACTACAGGCACGCACCACCATGCCCAGCTAATTTTTTGTAGTTTTAGTAGAGACGGGGTTTCACCACGTTGACCAGGATGGTCTCGACCTCTTGACCTCGTGATCCACCCGCCTCGGCCTCCCAAAGTGGAACTTTTCTAAGTGCTTTGCTCATCCAGGCCCATAAACTTAAAGTGCTTCTCTGAAATTCATGGGCTCAGCTGTGCATCAGAATTTAAAATACTGGGGACTTTATGCTATACCTTATATAGCAGGGGGTGGGGCAGCATCCCATAATCAAAGTAGTGTTTCTGCCCCCCAATTTTTTTTTTGACAGGGTGTCTCTCTCAGTCGCCCAGGCTACAGTGCAGTGGCACGATCTCGGCTCACTACCACCTCCACCTCCCAGGTTCAAGCAATTCTCCTGCCGCAGCCTCCCAAGTAGCTGGGATTACAGGCATGTACTGCCACACCCAGCTAATTTTTGTATTTTTAGCAGAGACGGGGTTTCACCATGTTGGCCAGGCTGGTCTCGAACTCCTGACCTCATGTGATCTGCCCACTTCAGCCTCCCAAAGTGCTGGGATTACAAGCCTGAGCCACCGCGCCTGGCCACCCCAACTTTTAAGCTGCTTCCTATCCACACGGACATCCTTCCTGTGGCTCACTCGACCTGAGACCTTTCTTCCTGTTTTCTGACTCCCAATAGAAGAAAAAATGGGACGGGACATGGAGCAGAGGGTGAAGAGCTGGACACGTCCCATGAGGTCAGCAGGGTGACCCTGCAGAGTGGCTAACACCTGGACCTTCAAGGGCTGCGTGGCAGGGTGTGGAGCTGTGTGCTTCACATGGAGTTGCCAGAGAGATTCCACGGGGACACGTAAAGGTAGAGCACTGGGGGTCACAGGCTGCTGGAGGTGTGTCCGTACCTAAAACTGCTGCCAGTAAGAAAAGTTAGAGTTTTTCCTGAAAGGCAAAAGGAAAAACCAACATTCCTTTAGAGACTGATGACATTTGAATTAGTGACAAAGGCCCCAGTTTATTGAATCTGTGTCTGTGGTTTCAGTCAAATGATTCATACTGGTTTTTTTTTTTTAATTGTGGTAAGATACACATAACAAAATCTACCATCTTAACAAAAATGTGGAATACTTTACAAATTTCTGTGTTATCCTTGGGAACTCATGCTTAATGTTCTCTGTATGGTTCCAATTTTAGTATCTGTGTTGCGGAAACAAGCACTACGCTGTTATTTTAAAGAGTTACATATTATAGGCTGGACATGGTGGCTCACACCTGTAATCCCAGCACTCTGCAAGGCCAAGGCAGGCAGATCACCTGAGGTCAGGAGTTCGAGACCAGCCTGACCAACATGGTGAAATCCCCTGTCTCTACTAAAAATACAAAAAAAAAAAAGAAAGAAAGAAAAAAATTAACTGGGCGTGGTGGCGCATGCCTGTGATCCCAGCTACTCAGGAGGCTGAGACAGAATTGCCAGAACCCAGGAGGCGGAGGTTGTGGTGAGTGGAGATTGCACCACTGCACTCCAGCCTGGATGACAGAGCAAGATTCCATCTCAAAAAAAAACATTACATATTATAGAAAACACATAAGAAGCTGAATTATGGTCTACAATACATAGTCTCCAATAGCCAGTAATTCTCTATGGCCCACAGCTTCAGAATCACCCAAGGAGAGGTCAAAAAAAAAAAAAAACACGGATTCCCACCAAGCCATCTGATATGGTTTACATCTGTGTTCCCATCCAAACCTCATGTCAAATTGTAATCCCCAGTGTTGAGGGTGGGGCCTGGTGGGAGGTGATTGGATCATGGGGGCAGTTTCTCATGGTTTAACACCATCTCCCAGATGCTGTCCTGGTGGTGGGAGGTGATTGGATCATGGGGGCAGTTTCTCATGGTTTAACACCATCTCCCAGATGCTGTCGTGGTAAGAGTGAGTCATATCAGGATCTAGTAGTTTAGAAGTGCGTGGCAACCAGCACTTCGGGAGGCCAAGGCGGGCAGATCACCTGAGGTTGGGAGTTCGAGACCAGCCTGACCAACGTGGAGAAACCCTGTCTCTATCAAAAATACAAAATTAGCTAGGCGTGGTTGCGCATGCCTGTAATCCCAGCTACTCGGGAGGCTGAGGCAGGAGAATCGCTCCAGCCGAAAGGTGGACACTGCAGTGAGCCGAGATCGCGCCCAGTGCGGGCGGCACCTCCCTGCTGTCTGCCGGCTGCTCCAGCCCTGTGAAGCGCTTGCTCCCCCTTCGCCTTCCGCCGTTTGTCAGTTTCCCGAGGCCTCTGAGCCGAGCAGATGCCAGCATCATGCTTCCTGCACAGCCTGTGGAACTGCAAGCCAGGTAAACCTCTTTTCTTTCTAAATCACCCTGTCTCAGATATTCTTTACAGCAGTGTGAGAACGAAATTATACACCATCCCAGTAAAAATCTCCGGGGTGGAAGCTTCAGGATTTTCATCTTTTTCTGTTTGGATTTATTAGATTATACTAGTGTACGTACAAATACATTCTCATTGTAAAAGATGCCAACAATGTCAAAGAAAAAATGTCTCCAAGGCTGCCCCCGCCCATTTCCCCGCCCACCCCCAGGCTCCCACCAACTTTACTCTGTTGTTGAGACTTCTCTAACTTTTTCTCAACATTTACAGGCGTATGTAGGCACACATAGAATAAAGGTTCGTTTTGTGGGTTTTCTTTAATCCTATATAAATGACGTTATAAGCAGTGTCCTGCAATATTCTTTTTAACTTAAGGACATATTTTATCTCTAAGAATCATTATCTATTTCCACAGCAACCCATGAAGAACCACTTGATTCTTTTGTCTTGCCAGTGGTATTCCAGAGTTCACCTTTGAACGAGCACTCAGGTTGTTTTCAAGTTTTCCTATTACATTCTTGCTACAGTAAAAGCCCTTGTATATAGCTCTTTGTATATATGAGTAAATTAATTCTTACAGTAGACAGAAGAAGTGAAATTGTTGTGTCAAAGGGTGAGTGCTTTTTAAGTGTTAATGATATTACCAGGCTGGGCACCATGGCTCACACCTGTAATCCTAGCACTTTTGAAAGGTTGGGGCAGGGGAATCGCTTGAGCCCAGGAGTTCAAGACCAGCCTGGAAAACCTGAGAGACCCTTGTCTCTATAAAAAATACAAAAATCAGCTGGGCCTCGTGGTGCACAACCCGTAGTCCCAGCTAACTCAGGAGGCTGAGGTGGGAGAAACAATTAAACCTGGGAGGCTGAGACTGCGGTGAGCCGTGATTACACTACTGCACTCCAGCCTGGGTGGCAGAGTGAGACCGTCTCAAAATAAATACATAACAGTGTTGCCAAATTGCCGTCTCTTAAAACTATACTATCAAAAATACAATTAGAGCCATTTCTCTACACTCGCACCAATATTTGACATGAGCAACCTTTCCCAACTTGATGCTTTTCCCAACCTGATGGTATCCCTTTCTTGGTTTTCTTCGTTTGTTTTTTAGAGACAGGGTCTCATGCTGTTGTCCAGGCAGGTGCAGTGAACTCCCGGGCTCAAGGAATTCTCCCCCGACTCAGCCTCCAGAGAAGTTGGGCCTACAGATGTGCGCCACCATGCCTGGCTAATTCTTTATTTTTTGTAAGGATGAGGTCTCACTATGTTGGCCAGGCTGGTCTTGAACTCCTGGGCTCAAGTAATCTTCCCACCTCAGTCTCCCAAAGTGCTGGGATTACAGGTGTGAGCCACCACAACCAGTCCCTTTTTTTTTAATTTGCATTTCTCCAATTATCAGTGGGGCTGAGCATCATTTGGTATGTTGTGTGAATTACCAGTACATAATAACCCTTTCCCGTTCTTCTATGGAGTAACTTATTATTTTCTTATCAATTTGTAGAAGTTATTTATATCCCAGGTATTGATTACTTGCCTGCTATGTACAAGCAAGTATTCTCTACTTTGTTTCTGGTGCCCTTGTCATACATTTTATACCACTTGTAATGTTATCAAATTTGTGAGTGCTTTCCTTGTTTTATATTTTCTTTATGATTTTCCGTAATTTCAAGGAGATAAATATGTTTTTCTGTATCCATTTTTTTGTTAGTTTATTTTTGAGAATGGTATGAGGTTGAAATTCTTCCACAATATTTTTTTCAAATTGGGCGCCCAATCGTCTCAACAACTGTCTCCACTTTGTCCGTCATTTCACACTTAAAATGTTGACTTGGTCATTTGCTAAATTCTTACGTGTGCCTGGGGCTGTTTCTGGTCTATCAGTTCTGTTCCACTGACCTATTGATCAGTCTCCATGCCAGGGTCACTTCTGATTTCATCATAACCTTCCATTAGCCTTTGATGGCTTTCTAATATTTGCATATTTTGGCCTCATTATCTTAGCTGACACCTCTTTTTTTTCTTTTTTTTTTTTTTTTTTT